TCATTTATCATCTCTTGAAAAATATTCAAAGTTTTTCTTAAAGTGCATTTTGTCTCTTGACAGAAAAGAATGGCTTAAAGTGAAGAAGGAAGTAATCTTTATCTTAAGGGCTAAAAAAACGACAACATGATTTTAAAATATACTAAAGTTTGACATCTTTTTGCTAGTTTTGAATTTGTATTCCTGGAGTAGATTTTAACTATCTCATAAGATTTTTTTTTCTTTCAAATTCAGAACATTTGGGGCTGGGATTGTGGCTCAGTGGTAGAGCGCTTGCCTAGCATGTGTGAGGCACTGGGTTCAATCTTCAGCACCATATTAAAAAAATAAATAAATAAAATAAAGTTATTAAAAATTCTAAACATAGACTTATGAACTTACATTTCAAAAATTTAAGATTTAGTTTGTAAAAGTAAATTACCATATAGCAGCTCTCAATGGTCTATCTGTATGCCCTTGTTCAGATCCAGCGCTCCTCTTAGAGTTGTAATGTATGTTTATTAGTGGTGATTATTGTCATTACATACCATGCCTTCACATGGCTTTTAGGAGACTCATGAAACCCATCCTGCATTAAGAAATTTTGAGAGTCCTGTATCAAATGAGATAGACTTTTCAAAGTTAGTTTTTAGGGCTGGGGATGTGGCTTGGGCGGTAGTGTGTGTGGCCCAGGTTCGATTACATACAAACAAAGATGTTGTGTCCGCCAAAAAAACTAGAAAATAAATATTTAAAAATTCTCTCTCTCTCTCTCTCTCTCTCTCTCTCTCTCTCTCTCTCTCTCTCTCTCTTTCTCTTTAAAAAAGTTAGTTTTTAGACATTTGGAGGCCTCAAATATTTGTTGATAATATTTTTAGAATTATATGCTAAAATATCTTCTAAGTTTTTTTAAAGAAAATGAATTAGTAAATAAAACAATTCTAAAAATTTTGTGAGGATACCAAAGTGCTTCTAACTATCAGTCTTACATAGCTCACTACAAATAAAATACTATTATATGTCAAACACCTTTTTAATAGTTATTTTGAGACTATTTCCAAGATAGGCAAAACTACATCAAACCTGCTTATAACCCACTTATTGCTTCTTTGTATTCAAATTTTATTTACCAAATCTTCATTCTTTTGGAATCTGGAAAGATAGGGGATCATGTAAGCATTATGCTAGTCTTAATTATTGAGTTTTGCATAGCAAAGAATGCAGTTTGTCAAATTATATATATAGTAATTGCTTTAAAATGTAAATTCATGTTTCTAAAATGAATATTTAGAATCTTCACTTTTAAACATATTGGGGGCATGATTATTGAGTTCTTTCCTACTTACTTGACAGCTATATCAAACACTTGAATAAATAGCAAACGAGAATTTGATTAAAGATAAGTATGTGTATTTTCTGAAGAACCCAGTGTTACTTCTGTTTCTTACCCTCTAGCACTAGTACAGAGTAAATGTTCAATGAATGATTTTGGGTAAGTTAAATAAATTTGAATTTACAAAATCTGATTCATAAATCAAGTTCTAAAAGATTGGTTAAAGTTCCTTATTATTTTGAATTCTTCTGGAAAATTAGTAAGATGCTTGAGATAAAAAGAGCTGCCTTTATTTTTAAAGGTTTAAGAAGTTTGAGTCTGGAGTTGATGTATTTTCAACTACATGTTGGTAATTGAACATAGGTATCAAAATCTGTGAGCCCACTAATTGAAGATTACGATATTTTAGATTAAGCAAATCTGGATGACTGCGTGGTTGTACCTAAGGATAGGATTAAACTTTGATTGAAAGCTTTTCCCCATCTTTTAGATTCTCTGATTACTTTCTGGGTTCTTTTATGGTCACAGAGACATTTTATAAAGTGTCTTCAGCTCCAATAAATAATAGTAACCACATCTTTCACTGTAGTGTAGATATTTGCTTAAATAAAGTAGGCAGATACATTGATAGTCTGTAGAGATCCAAGCCCAGTCTCTCTTTCTCAAAAAGAGTAAATTATCAAATGGAAAAACAGAACATAGAAAGTGGAAGAGCAAAGAGATAGAAAAATGATATAGTAGATACCTCTTCATTTTCATAGAATTGAGTCCCTAGATCTAAAGCATGGCACATGGTACATGGGAATTAAGGGTTACCTGCTATTCCAGTTCTCTTCCTCTTCTAAGTTTTGGGGACTTTTGGGGGATAGATTTGAGAGAGAGTTTTGAGATGGGAAATAATGAAGAAAATGGAAGAGTCATTGCTATTTGGAAGATTGAAAGGAGTTCAAATACTTTTGCATATTCTTTTCTCTGTATGTAATTTCAGCAAGTGAGAATTGTTTTAGAGTATTCTTCAATTTTGTATACATTTTTGACAATATTAGAAATAATATGGGCAAAGATTATGCAGAAATTGAGTTATATTAAATTATTCCTATTTAGAAAATTTCTAATTACTTCACATTGCACTCCCAAACTCTTGACCATGATCTGCAAGAGCCTGTGTGATCTGGCCTGTGTTTACCTATCTGACTTCATCTTTTAACTCTCACTTCACCCCAGCTAAACTGCCCTTATTCTTGCTGCTCTATTTTGGCTTAAAAGTTGTTACCTGGATGATGCCATTCAAAACTAGCCATACTTTTCTATTACCCTAACTATTCACTACCTTCATAGCACCCTGTTTTATCTTTCTCCTAGAACTTACATTATGTGAGATTATTTTGTTTATTAGTTTTCTTACTATATATCTCTCCCTTTCCAGAATGTAAACTATATGAGGGAATAGAACTCATCTCCATTGTTCTCAAACCTATGCCTAGTACCTGGGAAAGTTGCTAGTACCTACTAGCTCAAAATGTTAAGTTTGCTTTGGATAAGGTATTAAGGAAACTCTAATTAATCCAGTTAGATAACCACTGTTAAATTTTTATATATTTATCTAGGCTTTTCTCTCCTACCCAAGGACTATTATTGAATCTCATGTATTTTCTAGTTTACAGTAGCTTTTCTAGTTCTGGATGTAATGAAGGTGTTTTCTGCAACTTTAAAAAAAAAAAAAATGTTCCATAGGGAAGTCTGTTTCTTAGAATGAGGCTTTGAGTCTTGGTGCTGTAGGGCAGAATAATGGGGAGAGAGGGCTAAAAGTGGAACAAGAGGAAAAGTCACACATTTTTTAATAACAGAAGTCACATATTGGTGAGAATCAATGAATCATGTCCCTACCTACTTTCCTGAGTTACATTTTTTACTCTTTTTTTAAAATTTTTTTCTGAGGGTATAAGGTTTTAATGAATGTTTAAGAATTTCTCTGCTCTATTCCCCCATTCCACTGTATTCTAGAATGCAACTTGCTTGTATGTGTGATTTTGGGTTTGAGCATCTATTGAAACAGAAAGGCCTTTTATTAATGAGTATTTGTAACCAAAATAAAATGTCAACAGTCTTTATACTGACACAGTAAAGTTCTCCTTGTACAGAAAGATACAGAGCTCTAAAATGGAAAGATGAGTCATGACAAAGAGTCATTTTTGAAAAAACCACTACCATTACTAATAAGTTAAAGAATAATGATGTTTGACACAAATGTTTAAAATGTAAATGTAAAATGTTTAAATTGAGAGATAGAGCACCACATTATGTTATTCTGCAAGGACCCTTATAAGACCAGTGACTATTAGAAGTCTTAGACATTATTACTCCTAGAAGTTGATAATTGTGGTATTTCCACATATATCTCAGGTCCACAGATAGTAATTTCTTTCTTCCTCTTTAACCCCTGCTAAACTTCTATCTTTTAAACTCAGAATATATTTTTTATGAAATCTTTAGATTGTTTAAGTAACTTCTTCATTTTCTGACCTACCCCATCCCAATTTGATGGTTGCTATTTAGTCCAATATTGTTCTCTATTAATTTCTAGTGCTAGCAGCTGAATTTTAAGTATCTTGGGATTAAAGCTATCACAGTGTTTTTGTTTGTCTTCATTGCATTTTATACAGGTTGGGATATAGCATGTGATTTTCTTTCTTTCTTTTTTTTTTTTTAAAGCAATCTGATTTATTAGCTCAACTAATAGAAATCAGTTGATCTTGGGGACCAGAGACCAAGGTTCTAAAGACAGCTGGCTGTTTAACCCTGAGAAGGCACTTCATTTTCTACCTCTCCTTTCTCACCTATTAATAACAGCTACTGTCTATTTGTAGCATACAGGGCATTCATTATGCCCCCAGTGACTCTAGGGCAGGTGGGTAATGTTGTAGTATTACCATTACCAATTTCAAATAAGAGAAAACTGGAACTCATAAGAGTCCAGTAGCTGACTGAGGTTACGCTCTTAATAATAGAAAAGCTAGTGTTTAAGCCTAGGTTTCTCTGATTACAAAGTTAGGTACATCCCATACACAAAGAAGAATAAGATTAGATAACTTTTAGGATTACTCTATGGCTTATGACTTCCTGTTATGTTTTTTGTTGGTTCAGTAGATAGCGCTTTTTTCCCTTAGCCTTTTAAAAATTTTTTTTGTTGTTGTCAATGGACTTTTATTTTATTTATTTATATGCAGTGCTGAGAATCAAACCCAGAGCCTAACACATGCTAGGCAAGCTCTCTACCACTGAGCCACAACCCCAGCCCTAACCTTTTGTTCTTTTTTCAAAACTTTTGTCATGGCTATCAGCTACTAAATTAATTCCAGAATTTAAAAAAGCCCTTGAAATTAATACAGTATAAATTTACCGGCCCATGAAAATTTTTTCTCAAGTCAGAAAGATATATTTGAACATTACAGACAACCTCAGTAAATATAGAATTGAGTAAAGTAGAAGAATGAGTGAGACTCTAGACCTTACATTGAAGGAAAGTTGATTTCTTGCTCTATGCATGTTAATTCTTTCCTGAGTGATATTTGTTATTTTCTGTTTTTAAAAAGCTTTTAAAAATGTTTATCCATGATATTTTCCTTAGTTTACTAAAAGTATTACCATAAAAAATTTACAAAAAAATTTTAGAGGAAACTTTTGCAGACAAATTCAAGACTTACAGTTTATTTTGGATGTGAAGCATGGGATATAAAGATTAAATGCTTTCTAGATAAATCAGGGTAACTTGGGTAACTTGCACACTTTTTTGTCAAATTATTGTACTGCTGATGGTTCCCTGTAAAAAAGTAATGTAAAGAATGTTAACAGCTCTATAGAAATATAAATTTTAATAAAACAAATAAAAAAACTCACATTTTTATTATTTTCTTCTATGGCTATAGTAAATAGAACTCTTAACTTGCATTATTGTGTGCAAATTCTGTGTGTATGTTTATATATTTGTAAATACATTGGTGCATATGTTTTACTCTTTGAATAACATTGTTATTGAATTTGTGTCAAATCATCAGGGGGCCACATCTTTGTAAAGAGGGTTTTAGGTTAAAATTCAAGAAAAAAATAGTTATTCCTACAATTATACTTACCTTAAAATTTAAAAAAACCCTGAGCTATGATATTTTGATTCATACTTTGATTCACTGAGGTTAGGATTTTTTATATTATTATAAATATCCACCCCCCCCAAGAAAATTTATTTTAAGCAAAGCTAAATCATATATTGTACTATTCGTGTTTGGGATTTGTTTTCTTATGTATTGGTATTATAACACTTGTTTACCTAGGTCATAATATCAAACTAGATATGGCTCATTATTTTCATTTTATATTTTTAATATTTTTTAGAACAAATTTCATTTGGAGTTTGGAGAGTCAGATATGTGTATACATTACCCTATTCTGTGTCTTAAATTGACTATAAATTTAATAGAGGAATAAAAAGTGTCTCAAATTATATACTATCCTGTACCTGACACATAGTAGGGGCTCACTAAATCTTAATGAATGAATAAATGTAGGAAATACTGATCAATGTTGTTGCCTACTTACATTGTTGAAAATGTAGATGCTGGGCATGTGTACTATTTTAATTAATAATGCCTGTATAGAACAGATTTATTAACTTGCCAATTTTAGTTATGAGCCTTTTAATAAGACCTTAAATTCTACAAAGTTAATGACAGTGAGTTAGAGGAGTTTCACAAAGTTTGTTTCAGCCTCAACATGCTTGACATTCCTTTCTTTGATGTTGAAATTTTGAACTGTCTCTGATCTAAATTCTGTGCTCAGGGCAAGACAGCTAACTGTGGTAGGTGGTTTCCTATTCCTTTCTAGAGTAAAGAGTGTTGTCATGATGATGATTATAAAATCATTGACATAGGAGTATAAACACATTTTCTTTATTATAAAATGGAAATGTATTTGAAATGTTATCAAGGTAATGAAAACCAATAGTATTCATAATATCAGCAACTAATTATAATAACAATTGGTAAACATTTTAATACTAATGATTTTAATATTTTGTACCTTAAAATATGTATTTGTTAATTTATATTATACTTACTAAATAATGCTGTGGTTGCTCTTATTTGCTTATATAGCCAGTTATTAAAAACTCTTTGTTATACATCATTTTTCTGAATGCCATACAAGTAATGTTGAGTAAGCTGTGAACCTTCAAGGAGTATTTTAGGAGAGACAGATATCTAAAAATAATGACTGAGCCATGACAAGTGCAATAATAAAGCTATGTATGTAATGATGAAAATAATAAACTCTGAGATCAAGGAGAAAGAAAGTACTCTTAATTACTTCCTTTGTATCAACACTGTGTATGCATACTTCTAAAGTCGCATGATTCGATGAGGACTATTTTTCTGTTTATGTGTAGATTGTTTTTTGTTTCTGTTCTTCATCACAACTTGCCTTCTAACAAACTTAGCTATCCCAATAATTTCTCAGAAAGAGCCATTTCTCTTGTACTAACTCATGGGTTCATTGTTCACTCTACTGTCTTTTCAATACCCTATAGGCTTATATTCTGGGGCAGTACCTTATTATATCTTAGCACTATTTTTTCTCTCAGGTTACTGCTACCATCCATTTTTATTCACCTACCTTAATGGAATTGTGATTAGATGAACATTGGGTCTGAGTTGGCAGATGGACTGTATTCTAGGACCTTGTCATTGGTCATTCCCCTTACTAATGGATTTTCAATAATGCTTACAGGCTGTCAGTCAACACAAGAAATAATTTTTTATAGACTGGAAAAAATTATTACCTAGCTGAAATTATGTGAAAATTTAATTTATTGTAATGAAATATATTTAATACTTTGACACGCTTAAGTATTTTCTTAGTGAACTTACATAATGTTTTAGCATAAGGTATAAAATACTTTTTTAAAAAAATATTTATGTAATATATAGGCTGATGTAAGGGTAAAATATTCCTGTTTACCACAGGGTAATATAGACATAGATAGCAACACACAAAGGGTTTTTTAAAATATCATATTACTGAAAATTTTGAATAAGTTTTAAACATCTATATTTTAGCCAAGGCTACCAGAAATAGGAAGTTGAGAATGATTTTATTTGCATTTTCATGTAAGATTTTGATGGCAGTAATATTTTTCATTGACAGTACTATAGAAAATGTTAAAAATAATTATTTAATTCTACTACTTTTAAGTCCAGGTAGAAGCTTAGTTGACCAGCTTTGTTTGGCAAATTCTTTGTTCACATTTAAATTAAAATTGTAAACAAGATACAAGGGGGAATTGTTTAAATATGTGGGAAAATAATGTTTCTTAGTAGTTAAAAGCATATACATTTCTCACTTAAACGGTAAACATATTAATAAAAATCATTTTCAAGTCGGAACCTTGGTAAATGGAGGATATAAAAAACTTCTTAATGTGTAGGGTTTTTTTGTATGTATCATTTTAAATTTTGACCCATGTAAATATTTTACCTATTCAAAAACAAAATATGTATATGCATACCTACATATAAGCAAACTTTTGTGGAGGTTTTCCTGTGTCTTCATAGACATAAGTAGAAGCCATGTAACCATGAGAACATTCCTTTGAAGATACAAAATCAAGAGAGATTTTCTTTTTAAACATCATCCAAGGTTTTGAGAGGATCTTCCTTACTTTCTTAAAGTTGGTCTCAGTTTTTAACTTGGTAGACTTTGAAATGATTAGTTCAACTAGAGATAGAACATGATTTCATTTGAGTCAAAGTATTTACTTTGTAGTCTTATGACAAGTTACCATGGACAAATTCTAGAGGAAATTTCACCATATTCATTGTATACTTTTCTTCACATAGCCCTGGACAGGGAAGAAAATCATTATTGTTCTTCTTTTTTTCCTTTCCCAAATCATGAATGTTCTAAAGTCTCTAATAAAAAGGGTTTATGAGTCTCTTATTAATAATTAGATTTGTTTTTTTAGAGAAAGAGATTTCAATTAAAAAATAATTTCCCTGTGAAGTGGGCTAATTGGTTATTTAGAAAACTAACTTCTGAGTATGTGTACATATTGTTTCTGAGGGGAAGAATCAATTTAAGAGCCAGGTGGAGTTTTTTTTAAAAAATAATAGACAGTAGGATATAATTTCCAGGAGAAGATCTAAAATGTGCATCTTCATAAGTTTTATATTCTTTATAATGTTTTAGTAATAGAAGCATAAACATTTAGTTTTTAAATCATGATTCTATTTTATGCAATATTTGGAATCATTTTAATAAGGAAAGTAATTTCCTATCATAGCAGAGTATTAAAATTTATTAAAATCCATATAGTTTATTCCTTTTTTCTGAAGAAACTTTCTAAGTACTTTAAATAACTATAGACACATAGGTTACTTGTAATGAAGAACACTAATGGGAAGGGTAAGAGTTAATTAACTAGACCCTTAATAATGGGCCTTTCTAGTCCAAAAAAAAATCTTGTAATTGCCTCTGAAGCTAGTTGTGTAGCAAGTTGCAAGATGAAATATCTAGATTGTAGTAGTCATTCTAAGAAAAATGTTGCCTTCAGGCAATCTTTGGTACATTTATTATTATGTAAAATGCCTTTTTAATGATAAGCAACTCACAGAGTCCAAATAATTTTAGAAGTAGAAGTCCAGTGTCTCCTCTTTGCTCAAGATTAAATTAGTGTGAGCCTCTCCAATGAGCACAGCTTTTGCTCCCTTTGAAGAAAGTAGCCCTTCAGACAAACTTTACATTTGATTTGTTTGTCTTAAAAAGATATTCTCATGATTAGTGCCGAGAGCTGGTAACATGTGTGGTAGTTTTCTTGAAAATTCTATTTAACAGAATGAAATGGAAAAACCTAGGGAATATTTTCAGGAAATCTTAATAGAAGAGACATGCAACTTGAAGTAGAACTTATATTACATAATTCTGCAAATGCTATATGCACCAAACTGATTTACCTTATTGTCAGTTTCCCCAAAGGATATTTAATTTTTCCCTTTGGAATTGCCCATTTTGTACCCATCCAAGCTCTTCGAAAAATCTTATCAGTCTATGCCAGAACTACAGTAGAATGACAGTTAATGAAAATAGCCTGCCTTGCCACTGCTGGGGCAGGGGTGGTGGGGGGAGCTGTATGAAAATATATTTCATTTTCAAAATGTTTCTGGAAGGACTTATTTATGGAAATGTTGCTTGTTATTTAAAACTCTTCAAAAATGCAGTTTTCACAAAATACAAAAAAATAATCTCCTGGAAGTTTGAAAGGGGTGAGGGGGCTGTCATGTGGGGGCGGTCTCTGTGCTGCCCACATCCTCCCTCTGTTCCGTGCGTTGTGTGCTTACGGGTTCCCTGGAGCGGATCACCATATAATTGATGTGCAGTCTGCATTGCTGAATCCTGGACTGCACCATTCTGTGTTCAAGGGAAGATGTAATCTGATCCCTCTGCTGCTGAGGGAGGAATCTGTTCAGTCAAGGCTTTGACAGGGCATAGTCTCCTCCAATAATCTTCTCCGTTCTCTCTCATTATTCCCTCGAGTTCTTCTCAGTCAAGCTGCATGTATGTATGTGTGTCCCGAGAAGCGGTTTGATACTGAGCTGCATTTGCCTTTACTGTGGAGTTTTGTTGCCGGTTCTGCTCCCTAATCTTCCTTTTCTGACGTGCCTGAGCATGTCCACATTAGAATCTGTGACATACCTACCTGAAAAAGGTTTATATTGTCAGAGACTGCCAAGCAGCCGGACACACGGGGGCACAGAATCACTGAAGGGAAAAAATACAGAAAATATGGGTTTCTACGGCACATTAAAAATGATTTTTTACAAAGTAAGTAATCTGTTTTCTTCCTGTGCTGTGTGATTGTGTGTGTGTGTGCCTGCCTGAGAAGGAAAATCTGTATCATCAGAGATGGCTGCAGTATCCTCTAATTTTGGTGGGTGGTTGGATGTCTGGTGTTCTGTTTTATTTCATGAATGTAAGCGAATAATGGAAAGACAGCGTGAGCTGAGAGAAGCTTTATATTTAAAATAAAATGTATATTTGAGTCTGAAAATTTTTCACTAAAAATACATTCAGACTTTAGAAATGTGGCACCGTTTAATGCTGACCTGGAAATACTCTATCCTTAGTTGGTTTTTAGTGAACCTTTTGCCTTAAATTTTTCTCTATACATTATATACATATTTTTATCTTTTTATTAGGTGATTCTTAGTGTGTAGAATCATTAGAATATTTGGTATTTATATTTAGAGAGGTCATATTTACTTTCTGTTCCCCTCAAAAAATTTGCAGAATTAATTTTTGATTCTAAAGTCAGTATTTTTTGTAAACAGTACAGTATTTAAAAGACTTTTATGGTCATTGAGAAGGTGCTTTATTTTATAAAATAAAAATAAAATTCTTTTTCAGAGGTTTCCTTCATACATATTTTTTGTACATTTTTATTCTTTGAAGGATTTCTAAGATGGAAATAAAGTTTGCTTTTAGTGGCAAATGGCATTTGCACCAATGTATTTACAAGATATCCTGGGAAGTTCTGAAACCAGTATTACAAAGTTAATTAGAATGAATATCAGAGTTTCTCATAGTATTTATGAAGATAATCTGTGAAAGTTATCAAAAAACTTGATTTTAAGGTAATCTGTACTGACTAACCTTCCGGATAGATTCATTTGTGAATCTGTATGTATATTTCTATAAATTATATACATGGAAGCACGTGGCTACTTATATATTATAGCTTTTTATATTATATTTATATAGTCATTTGCTTTTTAATGCAATTATTTAGGAAAAGAAAATAATGGATTTTGAGAGAAATCCCTTTAAAACAATGTAATGAGTAAGAAACTTCTGAAGGGAAGAAACCAGACTATTTTTTTCCAATATGTATTTCATGAACTAAGGTATAAATTGTGGATAAGCTGGTTGTACCCCTATCTCTTACTCCTAGTATCATAAAATCATCCTGTATTGATTAGAAGACGTCTTCATAATGATAAAAACGAAGTCTTTATTATCCAGTGTGGTTCAAAAGATTTTTAGAGTCTCTTTGGTTCTCTTTAGTATTTACACTGTATCATGCTGAGTTATGGTGTTCCTATGAGGCAATAGGTAGGAAACTAAGACTACTGCAAAATAAGGGTTTTCACCCTACTATCAAAATTAGGATAGCTACACGTCACTCTAGGTGTTCCCCCCAACTTGTAGTAATACAGTTAATAAATGAGTGGATGCAAATCTGAAAGAAGTTGTCAAATTAGAGAAAAGTTGACTCTTATTAGATGTTATTTTCTAGTTTAAAAATAAACATATGTTCATATGACCCCAGTTGACTGATAGTGAAATATAAAAATATTTCAATATTGATATGACAAAATACAATCCTGAGTATATTTATAGTGTTTCATGGCATAATGAAACACCTTAAAAATATAAATGTTGGATGTATCTTATAAAAAGCGTGATTCATTTTCCTCAAATCTTTTTGTTGTTGTTTCAAGTTAACATATTTGTCCGGATTGTCAGTAGAGCTATACTTTGTATATATAGCAATTGATGACTTTTTTCTTCAGCTGCATTGTACCATCTCCAGATTTCTCTGATTATGGATTTACCATTTTTACTGATCTTATTGCCCATATAAATTACTTTATGCTTTAGTATGATTTGTATTTAAGATTATTTTATTTTCAGTGCTTTCTTTACCCTTTTATAATGATATGGGTGTTTAAAATTCAGTTTCCATTCTCATTTCTGGTTTTGAAATTTTGAATTTTGTTATTTCTTAATTTTTTAAGGAAAAATGAAGATCAATGAGGAAAGCATGTTAAATGTGGTTCTTTTCTGTATGGATTATCATGAGATTTTTCTCCTTATATCGGTTGTTAAACTGAAAAACATGAAAGGTATTACTCTTGAAGAATATGTATGATGAATGTCAATTTTTAAATCACCATACGCTGTTATCTAGAACATAAGAGCATTGGGGGGGGGGTATATCTTTGCAGTTTGTAAGCATAAAACAAAGTAGAACAAATAGAGGAAACCAAGAAATACTTATTTTTGAATTAATTGACTACCTAATTTCCATTGTAGACATATGAAATTTTAAAGAATTTTTTTTATATTAACAGTGCTAACTCAAGATTTGATAGCTTGACTGGTGATTTTTTAAAAAAATATATCTTGTTTTACCTTATAGATGAAAAGAAAGTTGGACCATGGTTCCGAGGTCCGCTCCTTTTCTTTGGGAAAGAAACCATGCAAAGTCTCAGAATATACAAGGTAATATTAAATATAATAATTTATTCTCTTGTGGTTCTCATATCTTTTAAAGCTGATAATTCTGAAAGTATCTCTTTCAGTTTATTTCCATAGAATAATAATGTTAACAGTACTACTGACTCTTTAACATACTTCAAAATTACTGAAAATTGGGAAATATATCATTTTAAATAGGGGGAGGAACAACTACCACTGTAATTTATATTCTGTTATTAATACATTAAAGTAAGATGAGCAGAGGTTCTCTTGTGAACAAAATTTTAAAATCACAATTTTGAAGGAATTCTAAAATGTAAATCATAAAATATGAACATGAGCAAATGTATCTTGTTACTATAGCAACAACTGTTCTAAGATGGATATTTATATTCACAAAATTGGAGATAAATTTATTAGCAGTGAAATAAACACCCCAGTTACTAACTAAATCTTATTTCATGAAATTAATGTGTTAGAAATTCCCTTTTATTAGCTTGGTAGGTCTTATGTCTTAACACATACATTTCTACACCAGTAGGATAGTTTCCATAACAACTAAATACAATTGTAGTCTTGTTTCCTGCTTCAGTCCATCATTTTTGGATTTTGCATCAGTATAAAACTTTTACCACTCTCACGCTAATTAGGCCAACTTAAGTACAATATCTATTACCCAGCCAATTAAAAATGGCTTTGGGCGTTACTTGGAATGCTGTATTTTCAAATTTAAATGACAAAAGTATCTTAAGAACTTTTTTTTTTTTTTTTGGTATAATTGTCTCTTCAAATAACTGATCCTGAGATAGCAATAAGAACCCTAAGAACTCCTTAGTTATAATACAGTTCCTTCTTTTTCTCAAAGTATTTTGACTTAGAATTATTTTTGTTCTGTAAGGTAAAAAAAAAAAAAAAAACATTGCCCAGATATAAGGCTTTTTAAAAATTGAACATTATTACAGATTTTCTCTCTTTCTCCCCCCTCCCACCGTCTCTGAATCTTTACAGAAACAATTCATTCTTATTTCATTCAGTTATAGAAAATATTTCTTTCAAATGCTTTTTTTATGAAATTTCAAAATCATAATAATTAGAATAATTGTACATATAAAATACAGGAGAGATGATGCAAAGGCTAAAAATAAAACTATCTCTTAGTTATTTTGGAGCTGCATATCTGTGTGATTTTTCTCATGTTGACTGTCCCCCTCTTTACTCCTTGCCTTTTGACAATTTTACTATTTTGGCACTTCCACCAGAGGGTGTGGAGGGATAGAGAGACAAGCAAAACTATTCACTTCATTTTGCTTCTAACCTTAATAAAGTATTTCTTAGATGAGAAAGTTGAGTTGAATGTTGAGCTAATTGTAAATGGTCTTTTATAAATGTATAGAGTCCAGTAAGCCATATTATTTTAGTCTTCTATTACTATGGCTGAAACTAGGACAAAGATATTAAATTGTTCAGTTGTTTCCAAGGCAGCTTATCAAAAATAAGTGTTGAATTTTTATCATAGAACACATAAAGTTTGTCTTTAATTGTTCACTTTTTTATTGAGAAAACAACTGACTCTTAAATAAAATTTACTAACGCAGAATTAGCCCCAATGGGATATTTCGTGTTTATTTCCATGTCTTTTTTTGGAGATTTTGTCAGTTACTAATGTATGTATTTGGTGTTTTATTTTTCACAGATAATAAAATGAAACTCATTTTTCTTTTTTTCTTTTTTTTGTCTTAGAAAATTTAAGTTATAAGCACATTCTATTATTGTGGAGAATGAGAAAACTGAATTTACCTTTGAATTTAAAAGAAAAGAGGATAGACAATTATTGAATATTAGAGATTAACTTAAATGTGTGTTAAAAGATTCAAAGATTACAGGAATGAAGATTTTTATGTAAAATACATTCAAATACATTTCATATCAAAAAATTGAAGAAAACATTGGGGAAGTTGTGTCACAAGTAATTTAACAGAGCTTAACACTCGACTATTATGATACAATACGTATGTGATTTTTGGATTTAGAACACTATTATAACTCAAGAAATTAAGGATTATTCTAGAAATGTAATTTTGTTAACCAAGCTAAACCATCTTCTCCTTTTTTTTTTTTTTTTTGGTAATATCTCTAAAATAGAAATGCTCAATATTTGCCTTTAGAGTAAATAATTTAATTGGATACAGAAATTTAAAAATAAAGTTTAATATATCAATAACATATCTATGTTCTTCCTGCTATTAGTTGTTTTTAGGAGAGTTAGACAGTTTTCAAGCCAGGTCATTTGGTCTTAACCTCTTTCATTTTATACTAGATGCAGATAAGTTCTTCACACTTAATTTGAATAACTATACATCTAATCAAGGCTGATTCTTATCAACTATCAGACCAAGCTTTATAAATAAGAGTTAAGAATTAGATAGCAACAGCTTAAGAGTATAATTATGAAAGCATCTGGGCAAACTTAAGGAATTGTTTGACTAGTGATATCCAAAACATTTGAATATTCTGTTTATATACTGGAGTTTTTAAAAGAGTCTCAAACTCCTTTTTATAAAGAAAATTTAAAATTTAAACTTTATGTCTTAGAAGAGGGCCTATATATTCTAATGAAATATTTGATTGATTGGTTGATTGGTTGATTGGTTGTGGCTGGATATTAAACCCAGGGCCCCATGCATGCTAAGCACATATTCTAAATTGGAGCTACATCCACAGCCCTAAGGAAATATTTTACCATTATTTGTATGTATGTATCTGTGACTTGCAGTTTTGCCATAGAGATTCTGTTATTTGGTTGCAGTTAGCATTGCTGGGATAATAACAGGTGGTTATGTAGGAGGGAGGAAACTTACTCCAAGAATAGCAAAATGGGTTTTGTGTACTCATGTTCTCTGGGAATAAGCAAATAAAAGGAATAATTGGATTGATGTTTGAAATATGCCCAGGTCATCATCCTTTTTATTAAATAAGCATTCTTTATTTTTAAGAAATATATATCTTTGCTTCTACTGTGTGTGTGTGTGTGTGTGTGTGTGTGTGTGTGTGTGTGTGTGTATATATATATATATATATTTTTTTTTTGTAGTACCACTGGGCTTGTGCCATGTTCAGCAACACCAACAACTTTTGGGGACCTGAGAGCAGCCAATGGCCAAGGGCAACAACGACGTCGGATTACATCTGTCCAACCACCTACAGGCCTCCAGGAATGGCTAAAAATGTTTCAGGTAACATTTGTACACACATTACTTGAAATGTTTTACTTAACTGCTACAAAAAATAAGGGACATTCACCCATCAAAAAAGAATGAAGTTACATGTAACCCTGAAAATGAGCTGAGGGAACATTATACTGAGTGAAAGAAACCAGACACAAAAGGCCACATGTTGATTCTGTTTATATGAAATATCCAGAATAGGCAAACCCATAGAGACAGAAAATAGATAAGTGGTGGCCAGGCAATGAAGGGAGGAGATGATTGAGACTACCTGGTACTAGGTGTAGAGTTTCTTTGGATGGCAGAAGTGTTGTGGAGCTAGATAATAGAGGTGATGGCTACATATCAAGGTGGGTGTGCTGGGAACCACCTAAGTGTGTCCTTTGAATGGCGAATCTGTGTGACATGTATCTCAATAAAATGCTATAAAAATAAGGGAGCTCGTTTTAATTTCTAAATGTACTAATTAAGAAAGTCTAATGCTTATTTTCTGATGTACATTTGCATTTTTATAGATTATTAAGCAATAAGACCATTTTTCTTTTTCTTATTCATCTTTGGGTCTTGGGTTGTTGAATGTACTCTTATTTTTTAAATTGCATTGCTTGTATATTAGGTACTTTCAATTAATTTAAGAACTCCAGTAATCACTGGAGGTGACTTATTTGTCACAACAACCCCACTGGAGTTGATGAATGCATCTTCTTCTTATCAGTGACATGCGTATATATGACTCAGCATGCTCCATTTCCACTAACTGTCTTTTACTAGTATTTAAATTCTTTGAACATTTACTGGGTAGATTGGTTGCTACCAAACCTTGAATATTATGAATTTTATAACTTAAGATAGTGATATTAAATTGATTTATCTCTTCTTCCTGTGAGATAATGCATATGAATCAAGTGTTTAGCAAAATAGTTGGCATGGATTAAGCACTTGCTTAATTATTCTTTGCAAACAGTAAATAGAAATGATGTGAAGATCTGATATTATCTACCATACTAATGTAAAAATGAATATATTTTACTACTTCTGGCTGCTTGAATTGTTGGGTACATAATGAATGCACAAGGAAATAATAGTTGAAAACATACTTCATTTGCTATTTCAGATTTTTAAGATGTCATCTTATGTAAATCCTACTATTTCACATACCTAGGCAAAAACAGAATAAATATCTCATTTTTTTTCTGGGGGTGGAAAACTTACTTAAAGCAATGTTGCTTTAAGTGGATTTTAAAATTTGTTTTCTACCCTCCAGGTGATTTCAAAAGCACTAGGATATAGCCAATTTGAGGAAGGGATGGTAACTGAAAGCTTAGAACGCTGATATTCAACAGGGTTCACCTTCTCCCCTAGTTGAGAGAGCAGTGTCTGAAGACACTTGTGGTTGTTAGAACCGTGGGGGTGGATGGTCACTGCTGTTATCTAGAAGGTGGAGGCAGTATAAAAGACAGCCTCCCACAACAAAGAATTATCCAGTCCAAAGATTAAGAGTCTCTGGGTTAGAGAATTAAAGTTATATTTAATTCTTATTAAAATGTTATGAAGCCGGATGCAGTGGTGCACGCCTCTAATCCAGGAGACTTGGGAGGCTGAGGCAGGAGGATCACAAGTTTGAGGGAAGCCTCAGCAACTTAGTGAGGCCCTAACTAACATAGCAAGACCCTATCTCAAAAAATAAATAAATAAAATAAATTTTTTTTTTAAATTTAAAAAGGGCTGGGATGTTGCTCAGAGGTAAAGTATACCCCTAGGTTCAATCTCCAGTACTAAAGAAAAAACAAAACAAGTTATGAACCCACTGCAATTACAAAGTGGCTTTTTTTTAAGTAAGTTTTCATAGTCATTTGTTCATGAAACATACCTTTTCTGCAAGAATTATTCCTACCCATGCCCTCCCCCTACATTGTTTTACCTCAGGTTCAGGTTTTTTGAATTTTTATTTTTTCCCGTGTCCCCAGAATTCTGAGTGTTTTATTTTGTCCCATTCTTGTAAAGGAAATTTATACATCAATAAGATTTGAAAATAAAGTACAAGACATTTATATATTCTTTTAAAAAAAATATTTATTTTTTAGTTTTTTTAGGTGGACACAATATTTTATTTTTATGTGGTGCTGAGGATCAAACCCAATGCCTCATGCATGCTAGGCAGGCACTCTACTACTGAGCCACAACCCCAACGCCTCCCCCCTTTAAATATTTATTTTTTTAGTTTTTTAGGTAAACAAGACATTTATATATTCTTAAAGGAATATTTAAAGATTTCTATTGTCTCTGATTAAGCCAGGAGATGGGTGTGTAGGTGTGTGTTGCCATGCTTGTAGGCGAATGTCAGTTTACAACACAGCACTGAAGAGGATTGCAGAGCTGATTTCTTATTTTTTTGTACTGGAGATTGAACCGAGGGGTACTTTACTATTGAGCTACATCCCCAGTCCTTTTGATTTTTATATTTTGAAGCAGCATCTTGCTTAGTTGCAGAGGGTCTTATTAAGTTGCCAAGGCTGGCCTTAAATTTGTAATCCTCTTGCCTCAGCCTCCTTAGTCACTAGGATTACAGGTGTAATTCTGCCGGATTCATATCATTTTTGCAAGAATATACTAACATGATTGAGAATTACCCTATTAGCAATGGTTTTATCATCATTGTGGACAGCTTTTGATTGTATGTGAAAAGATTTATTTCTTAGAAGGTTATTTAGAGTTAAGATTTATTTTCATGTGATAAGGCCCATTTTTTTCCAGTGTTTTAAAGTACCAAAATATTTTTTGCAAATCAGTTAGGATATTTGCCAATTTTAAGGGAACTCTTTAATATTGATCTATAGTTTAGGGCATTTATGTTTTATTTTGCAGTAAGGATATTTGAGAGAGTTCTTTGATACAATGTTTGTTTGTTCAGTTAGCTTATGCTTTCCTTTATCAATTGTCCAAATGTTACCACTTGCTATATTTCATCAAATCTGAGACTGTATAGATCCCAATTTCAGAAATATTAATTGTAAAAGCCAAAATGAGAAACTGTTTTGTAGAATCAGTGAGACTCAATAAACTAAAGAGTGTTAGCCAGCTTTTGGCCCAATAAAAGTATTTGTTCATTTGAGAAGTAGGTACAGTGAAGAAAACCTGTTCTTAATTAACAGGAATAACATGGAATTATCCTCAAAGATAAAGAACCATAATTTTTTTTAGAAAAATATTATTTAGCAATCAAATCTATAGCAATAAAGAACAATTTGACAGGTAGATCAGGACCTTAATCTTCTCAGTACCATGTATGTCTTGTGACACAACCAGAACTTCATTGTCATAGATTGCCCCCCTTTTTTAGGGCTGATGCCAAAGTAACTAGAAATGAATCATTTACCTAAAGGCTTACAATGCTTTAGTGCCTAACTTATAGGCAGATATAATTTCATAGTAAAGTGGGGGAGTCATGAATTGACCTATGTGGTACAGTTGAGGGATAATTAAACTGGCACGATTTCTACAGATATGCTGTGGCGACATTTAATGATGACTTTTTTGTTTCATAACAAACAAAATGGGAGATCTTGTACTCTTACTGTCCTCCTATTGCTCCTAAGGCAGTGATACAGCGTTGTTTGGGTCCAGCTCCATCTATTCTAACAAAAGTATTGTGTACTCAATTTGTATATCAAATGAGAACAAATGATACACCATCATGGATAAGAGGAAATTAAAACACAGTGCTACTACAAAATAGAAGTGCAAATTAAAGACAAAAATTTTAAAAAACCACAAGTTTTACCGTTTGAATTTTCAGTAGTCATGGATTTACTTTCTACTTTTATTTTGCAGCCAAATTGAAGCTTCAGATTGTTAATTTTGAGGGAGATAGTTGGTCTTTTATGGTTTGTTTATATCCTTTGAGTATTAATATATGGTTTCTCACTTGAAGTGTTTAGATTAGGTAAAGACTAATGGCATGAACATTCTTTTTTTTGGTAAAATTTATGTTCCCAGGCATCCTGAAAGAATAAGCATATGTGACCTAGATGGAAAAGCTCTTAGTTCCAATTTTGGTTTTGCCTCTTAATAACTGGGTAATTTTATTGGTGTTATATAACCACTCTTCCCTTTATATTTTTACTCCATAAAACAAATATAACACTATGAATTTATCAAAAGGAAGAAAACATATAGGTGTATTTAAAGCTGTCCTTGGAATTACAGTGGAGACCATTAAGTTTAGCTTTCTCCACTGGTCAAGATACAGCCTTTGTGGGCCTCAGTTTTCTTGGTCTTAAAAGGGGCTGTCAAAAATAGTAGTTTCACATCCTACCATGAGGATCAAAGAAATACGTGGAGGAACTCTAACATTGTATAAATGTCATTAGTTTCAAAGTATTTTAATCAAAGCATATTTGCATTGAAGCTATAAATGTCTTTTGAAAAGATGTTACACTCAAAATAATAAAAATGATAAAATATAAAGTACTTCTGTTTTGATATCTAAATAGGAGTCAACCCCATTTAGATTTAGAAATTGAAGGATTTAATCAAGTTTCATGCTAACATAGAAGCTGTACATATCTTCTGATGTATTTTATACAAATCTTGTTTGCTAATCAACAAAAGATTAAAACCTACAGGATAGTGCCCAAAGAGGCTAAGTTCATTATTACTTTGAAATTTTATTAGTTATAATATGAGAAACCTTGTTAAACCTTATGTGGGTGAGTTGAAGAAAATCATGTATTAGACCAGAGAAGACTAAAGGAGAATTTCATGTCTTGAATATTTGAAAGACTTTTGCATTAAAAGTAGAAAGAGGCTGATTCTTGGTTTCTTCAAAAAATAAAACCTGTGTTGTGTTCTCTGGGTCAGATTTTGATGTTAAGTAGAACTTGAAAATTAGAACTGGCCCACAGTGGAATGGTGGAAGTACTATAGAAGTCAGTTATTTCCCACATGCAATTCAGGCCTGGACCTGACTAGGCATTAAGGATCACCTATACCAACATTGGATGAGTTGCTTTTTTTAGAAAAATAAATATCCTCGGCTGCATCTTGACCACTGAAGCAGACTCTCAGGTGGTAGATTGTGGGACTATGTGATTCCTGTACTCATTGGTCAGCTTTGGGGGACCACTGGTCCAGACTAAGCCCTTATAATGTAGGTGGAGTTTCTGAAACTTCATCCACTTGCACAGTGAGTTTACTGGTAAAGTTTGGGCTCCTGGTTACATTTCCCTGCCCCTACTACTCTTCTGTACTACCTGTGTGCTCCAGTTCCTAAAATAAAATGATATTTCCATGGGGAAATTTTCAAATTTGTATTTGCAGTTTTGCCCACAAATTAAAATTTGTTTCTCTTGAAAGGAGGATGGGAAGAAGACAGGCAGGCCACCTTATAGGTATCTAGAGTAGAATGTGATAGGGAACAGCAAGTGAAAGGCTCCCAGGCAGAGCATGCCTGGAGTGTTTGAGGCCTAGAAAGAATGTGTGTGGCAGAAAAAGTAAATAAGAGGAAAAGGAGTAGGAAATTAGAAACTTGTGGGCCAAGCAAAGACTTTTTATTTAACTGAAGTGGAAAGCCAGTAGAAGGTTTGAAGCAGAGGATTACTGAGTACTGAGTGGAGAATAGAAGGAGCAGGGCAGAGGTAGGACGCTGGGAGTGCAGCCAGGGGGTTATGCCAACAGTCCAGGTGAGAGATACTTATGGCTTAGACCATGTAATAACAGTCAGATTCTGGGTGTGTTTTGATGTTTGAGGCCACAGAATTTATTTGGGTCAGAGCCATCTGTTGGTGAGAGAGAAAGAGGAATCAGGGATGACTCTAGTTTTTGGCCTGAGCAAGTTGTAGAACAGAATTGTGTTTTACTGAACCTAGCAAGACTATGGAAGTGGAGATTTAGAAGGAAAGATGGAGGAGTAAATTTCATTTACTATAGTTATAGCTTATGTTCCTAATCCTTGTTAGTGATATACTTTTCAATAAATTAGCTCAAAGTAACATTTACTGAATGTGTATGTAATTTGAATTGAGACATAATTTAAATTTCATTTGACTCTTGTTAAGTCAAATATTCTTTCAAATCAAAATATTATCCAAAATACTATTTACTCTTAGAGACATTTTGCTATCCAGGCCTAAATATTTTCATGAACTTTCTCTTAAATATATAGAAATTTCTGACACAATTTCAAACATTTACTTAAGAACTGAATTATTTATCTTCTATTCTGGTTTATTATTCTATTCTACACCTGTCTATTAAAAGATTTGATAAAAGATATTTCTCTTCTATTAGCATCATATACTTTGTATTGATATTATTATTTTTCTGTTCTTTTAAAAAAATCAATAATTCATTAACTGGAAAAAAAACATTGAACATGTATGGCTTATTACCTTAAATTAGATATAGTATTTATTAATCAAATGCATACCTGTTTAACATTTAAAGTAGTAAATACATTGAAAGATTTTTCACTGTCTTTTTACTATAGAAATTTCTATGGAATGTCTTGTTAAATCAAAATTTTTTTTAGATATTTATTTTTTAGTTGTAGTTGGAAACAATACCTTTATTTTATTTATCTTTATGTGGTGCTGAGGATCAAACCCAGGGCCTCGCATATGCTAGGTGAGTGTTCTACCACTGAGCTACATACAGCCCCAGCCCCTTAAATCAAAATTTAATCATGAACAGATCCAAAAATATTTTTAAAGCAGGCATTCATATAGGTGAAGATTAAGAGGTTTATTCTAAAATTATTCTATCAAATGCCTTTCTTTAAAGCCACATTTTAATTAAGTCAGCAGACTTTTCCATCACCCGAAATGAGCATGTCCTTATGGTAGCAGTGTCCACAAACCCCTATGAAGTAGATTTGAGGGAAAACACATTATAAAAAGCCACCGAAAATCCTGCAAGGGATGTACATCAGTAAGTCAGTGAGTCTACAGTGTGGGTGCTGAGTGGTCAGAGATGAGTAGAGATTGATCAGATTGTCAGATAGGCAAGTTTTGGGTCAGTGTTTAAAGTTATATGAGGGAAACCAACAAAATTCTTAGATGGTTGTAATTGACCATGTGTGTGAACACATGTATGTAGTGTTTTTCATTTTTATGTGTAAATCCTCACTCTGACCAAAAAGTATATAAGGTACATATTTGATGAATGTTCCGAACATATATGTTGAAGTAAAAGGAAAAAAACCCCACAATTTATTGGAGCCTGTGGTTCCTTATATTAAGTGGTGAAATGGAGTATATTATAGAAATAGCTAAATACTATTGAAATATTTCATAGTATTACCATAATCTGTACTTAATGATAGGAAAGAAGACAGGTTCGTTATAAATTCTAAAAGTGTAAATACTTTAAAAATGCTTTAGGAAATATTCTGAGTAAGTCTTTTTGGATGCTTAATATATCTCAGTATTTCAAATATAACAAAATCCAAGAAATGGAGTATCAAAATGCAGATCTTTCTAGCTCCAAACCTCTATTCACTCTGCTTCTGAAATGGACATTATAATTCACAAAGGTACTCGAGTAGGCATAGATTTACAGAAGCAAAGGCTCACCCAAGGGTGTTTTTTCACTTAAGTATCCTTAGTTATTTAAATATTTTGCATGATTATTGTTAAATTTTAACATTTTAAATTATTTACATGGGTTTTAAGTTTTTCTATAAGAATCTTGGCTTTTCTATGCAGGTGCTCCTCACTGGGGGAGGGGGGTAATTTAAAAAAAATCCTTAATGTCCTTTTTTAAGTATAATAATGTTTTTGTTTTTCTATGGTAATCACATTTTGTTTCTTATTCTCATTTGGCCTTTGCTTATATTTTGAATAATACTGTTAGCTATTATTTTCTATTATTTGCTGTTTTTGTCTGAAATTATTTTCATAAGACAAATCAAATCCCCTTTATTTGTGAGAAGTACTTCTCAGATATGCAGAATATCCAGTTATTAGTTCTTCTCTAAATGATGCTGTCAGTCTCCTCTTAGGTGAGTGTCTTATGGAAACCATCAAATTTAATGGTGCCTACTGGAAAGAATATAGAGAAAAAAAAATAGTCAAAATTCCTTATGTACTCAGTTACCCAAATTGATGTTTCTGGAATAAAATTTTGGTATCTCAATGGTATCATAGTTGTAGATGAACAAATAACTATCATCATAATGTAATACAAAAATATTTTCTCATGACTTTTAAAGCTTTGATAATGTAAAAAACAGTAAACTTCAGACTAAATCATATCACTTCAGTGGATTCTGGAGAAAATGTGATATAAGCAGCCACTTTGTAACATACAGAGTGCTTGCTTACTTTGTTCAAGTGTGGTTGTGTGTTTTCCTTTATGAGTTTCTAACTTGGAACATCTGTTAAAATAATAAAAAATTCTAATTCCTCTTTGATAGAGCTGGAGTGGACCAGAGAAATTGCTTGCTTTAGATGAACTCATTGATAGTTGTGAACCAACGCAAGTGAAACATATGATGCAAGTGATAGAACCCCAGTTTCAAAGAGACTTTATTTCTTTGCTCCCTAAAGAGGTAAGGATGATCAGTTACAGTGTTCAGTGTGTGTTTTTTGAATATGCAACTCAACTGCTACAACCTTTAAACATTGTAATACTAATTGTGGTATTCAGCATTTTCAGTTTAACACTCTCAATTTGTGGTCAAGAGGGCTTTAAGTTGGTAAACTGCCATGACTTAATAATGTAATTATCAAATTAAAATATGCTTATGAACTAAGTTACTTCTTTCTACAACTTGATTAAGTCAGATATATGAGACTAATCATTGAGTTTCATTCATTTTATTGTTTCTTTACCAAGATTTTTCCCTATGTTATCTGAAGCCCAACGTTCAGTTTTCTTGGTATGTTCATTATTTATAGTGTGGATTTTTAAAAAGTTCTGATTTTATCAAAACAACAATTTTTTTCCTTGTTTTGTCATTTATGTATCCTAAGTCCCTTTAAGACCAGTAGTTTTTTTGATGCTATTGAATTGTGGCTCTCTGGTACTTAGATTATATAATTATTTTTAAATGTATAGAATTCTACATGTATATCTTTTTCTACTACTCATTCTCCTCTTTGACTCCATTACACACACACACACACACACACACACACACACAAACATACACTCATACCAATTACATGTTTTAAAATATTTTTATTAGTTGTTAATGGGCCTTTATTTTATTTGTTTATATGTAGTGCTGAGAATCCAACCCAGTGCCTCACACATGCTAGGCAAGTGCTCTACCACTGAGCCACCAGCCAGCCCTCCAGTTGCATTCTTAATAGCACTTTCTGGAATTATTTGTGCCCATTTCTTTCTTTCTTTTCTTTTGTACCAGGGATTGAACACAGAGGCGCTTAACCACTGAACCACATCCCCAGCCCTTTTTTTATATTTTATTTAGAGACAGGGTCTCACTGAATTGCTTATGACCTTGCTAAGTTGCTGAGGCTGGCTTTGAACTTGGGATCCTCCTGCTTCAGCCTCCTGAGTTGCTGGGATTACAAGCATGTACCACTGCACCTGGCATCTTTTTTGGTTTTTGTGTAAACTGATATTATTCTTTTGTCATGGATTGATTATGGTCATATGGGCACTCTTGACTGAACAAGGTATAGTAGATATAGTGTTGTTATTGATATTATAGATTTCATAATTTCATTTTTGTCAGCAGACAAATAATATAACATTAAATAATTGATGTCCCCATGATTTATATTTGTACCAATTATCATGCCACTAATTATATGTCCACCCAGAAGACAATATAAAATTATCCTGAAGCTTCAAGTTTGAACAGAAAAGGAGTTGATTTTTTTCAGATAATCATTCTAAATACCCTAACAATATTAAATAGTGCCAATTATAATTTTACATTGGTTATGAATAAAATAGTGTTATATTTAAGCATAACTTCAGGGAGAAGCAAAATTGATACAATATCAATTTCTTGAAATGTTTTTTCTTTGGAGTGTTTTTTAAAATGACATTGATCCAGAAAAAAATTTTTATTCTTGGTAGTTCTTTCTAAAACTGAATCTTCTCAATAGATTTGGCTTATAAAAGTGACATAAGCTCTCTTTGCTTCCAGAAGGGCATTAATAAAAGGAAACACTTTCATAAGTATTTGACTGAAAGTAAATGTATTCATCTCTGATATATTTTTTATGGTTTCTTTTGATATCCTCCTTACTTTGGAGGGTAGCATTTTTGTTAAAATGTAGTTTTCAGAGTCTAGTTTATTCCCTTATCTCTGAGAATGGAGAGGGTTTGTTTGTTTGTTTGTTTGTATGTATGTTTTGCTTTGCTTTATTTTCATTTCTGTAGTAACTTCTTAATACACAAAAATGTGATTTACACTCAATAGAATTTTGAAAGTATTTTTAAAGAGTCCAAGAACTTAGCACAAATTATCAATATCAAGGGTAAATCCAGTAAAGATTCTGTTGGCTTAAATGTTCTTTTAAAAGTTGCTTGAGGATAAAGAAGTGAAGCTAGAGAGGAGAATAAAAGAGATCCCTAGCTTAGCATATTATCTGTGTTTTTCCTTTTGTTTTCAACTACAGAATGCTTCCTAATTTGAAAAATGCTTTATTTTATACATGAAGAAATAATGGCATAGATCTGCCCTTAAATTAATTAGCTTTATCTAGTCCAGAGACTCAGTATTATCATTATTTAAAACATTATTACCTCTGTGACAGGAGATGGAATTATAGTGTTTTTCTTATAGTTATTTGGGAAGATCTCAAAGCTATTTACCAACATTTACTTACTAATCTTGAAAAACCTTGACAAAAATGGCACTAGTGTCATAAGAGAAGCTTGTGTTAAATAGCATTCTCCTTATTTTGTGAGTAAATACCAAGAGAATCATAGTGGTATAACAGATAATCTAGAACAAAACCTGATATTCTTGAAGTAGGATTAGCCAACATTCTCTTTGTTCATTTAAATTTTTTTCCTTGACAGTACACTGAAATATAGCAAGCCTGGGAAAGTATTAGTCACTTCTAAAGTATAAAATTGTGGTCTGTGTCCCCTAATAAGGATCCTGTCTTAGTTCAAGCTACTGTAAAAAGTATCACAGACTGGTCATCTTATAAGCAGAAATTTATTTCTGACAGTACTGAAAGCTAAGAAGTCCAATATCAGGGCACCTGCATGGTTGGGTTTTGGCGAGGGCCCTCTTCCAGGTTGTAGACTTCTGTCTTCTCATTGTATCCTCATAAGGTGTGGCTGAAAGAGGGTAAGAGGGTTCTCTGGGTTCATTTTCTAGGGTACTCATTCCATTCCTAAGGGTTTCATTCTGATGACCTACAAAAAAGCCCCACTTCCTAAAAACATTACATTGGGAATTAGAATTTCAACATGAATTTGAGAGGACACAAACATTCAGACCCATTTCAGAGCCCCGTATGACAGAACCTTGATTCCTTTGAGGAATTGGTACACTTCTCCATAATACACAGTTAGGATCATATAACTTATAGCTGTTCCCTCTTTACTTGACAGTTTAACTCAAAACCCATGTAAGACACTGTTGCTAGTATATGCATGATCTACTTTCCCCTGGTTTAAACCTTCTTTGCTGATTTATGTTTTTCCTGGCTTTTTTTACTCATAGTTTTCTGTTTTGCATTGAATAGTTTCTCTGTTAGCTATATGTTTCAGTTGAACTAGCTGTATGTAAATTGACAAACATATAATAATTGCAAGTTCAAGGTTAAATTGGAGCCTCTGCTCCTTTAAAAGACAGCTTGTCAGTTACCTATTACACTAGCACTTCAGCTTTCCTTAGCACTTGAGTGTTGCTTTGCATTTTTCTAGTGCATCCAAACACTGGACTTGGATGAAAAGAAGGAAATTTTTCCTTTTGGTTTGAAGAGGTACTTTTGAATTCTCAACTATTCTCAATTTCTTGCTTCCTTGTCCCTAGCCTTTAAGATGAATTGAATGTTTCTGTAAATTACTTGGTTTCTACTTCAGTCTGATAACTCAAGAAAAAGAATAGACTTTTTCATGTGAACCATTATAATATCTTGGACATTAATCAGCATCTCTTTTGCACAAGTATCTTTGTGCTGGACAATATCTATATTGAATTACAATTTCACATAGATTAATAATATGGTAACTCACATTACTGTTCCAATGAAACTAAACAAACTTGCCTAGGCTTTGATTGATGGGTAATTTTAAAATTAAGTAGCTTGTAGAGTACCCGTTAATCAAATAAAATGTTGAGAGATGTATGTACACATGTTTATATACACATGTATATATAGGTTATTGAATATAATCATGACCTTTTATTTTAGATGAACTCGGTATGTGTAGGTAAAAATGATCTTCTGATAGAATCAATTAATTCAAGAAAAGTGTTTCGCTTTTATTCATCGATAGTAGTATTAAGCTTAGTACTGTCTAGGTGGAGTGTTTTGTATGCAGAATGTGCTCAGAAAGTATGTGATTAGAAGTGAACTCCATATATATATAAAATCATTAGGAAACCTTAATTTAAATCATGTAATTCTCATTTAGCTTTGAAAAATAATTCAAATCATACTTTCACTTCCTATGTAATCTTTGGCACTTTAAATGGTATTTTGACTTAATCCTTGCCATTTAGTTTATAAACACTAGACTTTGGATAAATTTTCATTCTAATATTGTAATTTAAATTTGTATGTGATGTGTGAGGCTACTTGAATAAGCATGGTCAAAGGCCATCACTTCACTTCTTTTCCTTCCTTTTTCTTTACTTGACTTGGTTTCATACAATGGAAAAAAATGATGGTTTGCAAGTATTATAAACAAATATTTTAAATTAATAGTATTCGAAAGAGCTAGCTGAAATATACAACTCTCTGTGACCCATCAAGAAAATCCCCATAAGCAATGTAAAGTAATTAGAACCCAATTACTTTTATGTGTCTGTGGAATGACTTAATAATTGTCTCATTTTGTCATTTATAGTCAAGTGTGTAAATGTTTTAGAAGTTTATCATTGTGATAAATAGTTTGATGTGATGAAGAATCACTAATTGTGATATCTGCCTATCTGAAATGATAAAAAATTATGTAGAACTCTCATTTCTTACCAGTCAGGCTATCAGGAAGGCCTCAGGTTCTGTCTTCAGTGAACTTGCATTGTAGAGGGGAGAGAACACAAGTATATGTAATTACATAAAAATTAAACTTATTGTGGTGAGGTTCACAGAGCAAAGGCAAGAACAGAGACAGAGGTTTAATCATTATTCTATAAAGAGATAAAGAGTTAGTGCAGTGAAATTCATAAAAGCCAAGAGGGTGTTTTTGTTTCTAATCTAGTTTATATTTGTTAAAATTGGAGTTACTGTCTATCATAATTTTACAAATTATGTAATTGCACTTATATCTAAGTGTTTTATCCTGTGGAGAATAATTAACCTTTAGTTCTATAATTAAAAAATATATATATGGGTATCCTATGTTTTTCTTCTGTTCAATAGCTGGCACTTTATGTGCTTTCATTCCTGGAACCCAAAGACCTGCTACAAGCAGCTCAGACGTGTCGCTACTGGAGAATTTTGGCTGAAGACAACCTTCTCTGGAGAGAGAAATGCAGAGAAGAGGGTAAGGTTCAAAATTACACAGAGAATATGCTCATGCTTTGAAAAGGCAAAGTAATTCTGGGAACAAGTAGACAACATAAAAACAAGTTTTATGTGCAGCTAGAATAAAGTGGATAAATGAGTAAAGAGAACTTTGGTAGCCTATCAAAGAATGGATCTTCATTTAAGGGAAAGAGTCAAGATGAGGATGATTTAAAGGCAACCCAAAAATTATATTATCAATTAAATACCCAGCATTGAGTATTCTATTTTTTTCATCATAAATATGTATTGAATACCTCCTGTGAGCTAGACATTCTTAAATGCTGAAGATATAAAAGCATCTTGCCTTTTTGATTTTTTTGTTTGTTTTTCCTGTCCTGGAGCTTATATTCTTAGAACCTGTTTAAAATCAGAAAATCTGTTTTAGTAGAAGAGTAGGCATCATCCATATTAAAAGGAGTATTTTTCCCCAGCAGCCTTCTAGAAAATGAATTATTTGGACAAAAAAAATATGTAAAAATATCATTTGCCTCTGAGAAGCAACATTTTTGTGAAAGAATCCTAGAGGTACGGGTAGCCATATTGGGGGGACTCCCTAACTGTATAGTCAAGGAGAGCATTGATGATTGGTCTGGGTTAATAATGCCTTGAGGTGAAGCTCCACACTTGATTTCTAATCCTGATTTCTATCAGACCCCTGTCTGAATCTTGGATTAATCAATGAAATTATTCTTCTCATGTATGCATATATATAATGTAGGATTAATCAACTCTGCCCATCTCTCAAAGAATCATATTTTAAACTCTTCAAAAAAATTGCATAACATACATAATAAAATTTATCATTTGAACCATTTTTAGGTGTACAATTTAGTGCTGTTAAGTACACTGGCATTGTTGTGCCACCATCACTGTCCATCTCCATAGCTGCTTCATCTTATCTAGCTGAAACTTGGTTACCCATTGAACCTTTTTTTTTTTTTGAATATTTTAAAAAGTTTTATTTACTAGATAAGAGGAATTAAATAAAATGAAACTGTCATTACTAACAAAAAGGACAAATTATATTAGACAATACAATGGGAAGTTTAGTTGTTTATATATGAACAATATTCAGGGTTTTTATTTTTTCTTTTTCTTTTTTTTTTATTGTTGGTTGTTCAAAACATTACATAGTTCTTGATATATCATATTTCACACTTTGATTCAAGTGGGTTATGAACTCCCATTTTTACCCTGTATACGGATTGCAGAATCACATCAGTTACACTTCCATTGATTTACATATTGCCATACTAGTGTCTGTTGTGTTCTGCTGCCTTTCCTATCCTCTACTATCCCCCCTCCCCTCCCCTCTTCTCTCTCTACCCCCTCTACTGTAATTCATTTCTCCCCCTTGTATTATTTTTCCCTTCCCATTGAACCTTAACTCCTATTCCTCCTTCCCCCTAGCACCCAACAAATACTTTGTCTTTATAAATTTGATTAGTTTAGATACCTTTGGTAAAAACACACAATATCTGTCCTTTTGTAATTGCTTTATTTCATAATGTCTTCAAGGTTCACCCATGTGGCAATATCTCCTTTTTTAAGATCAAATAATATTCCATATGTGTGTATGCCACATTGTTTATCCATTTATCTGTCAATGGACACTTGCATTTCTCCCAGCTTTTAACTATTTTGTACAGACATCTATTTGAGTCTCTGCTTTTAATTATTTTGGGTTTATACTCAGTACTAGAATTGCTAGATCATATGTTACTTGTATATTTAATTTTTTTAAGCAACTGTCAAATTATTTCCCACAGCAGCTAAGCCGTTTTATATTCACACAAGCAGGGTACAAACATTCCAATTTTTATATATCCTCATCAACATTTCCTAGAATCATTCTGAGAAAGAAATGAAATAGTGAATACAAAAATATGCCATATAGAATGTGAAGTCTACATTATTATTGCATACTTTATAACAGTTAGAAACTAGACAGTGTCCTGCATTTTTTTTGTTTTGAGCATAGAGAAAATGAGATATATTGTAAAATATGAAATTTGTATTGTTGATGAAGAGAATTATTCTTTTGGAATTCTTTTGATACTTTAGGGATTGATGAACCATTGCATATCAAGAGAAGAAAAGTAATAAAACCAGGTTTCATACACAGTCCGTGGAAAAGTGCATACATCAGACAGCACAGAATTGATACAAACTGGAGGCGAGGAGAACTCAAATCTCCCAAGGTAACTGGACTCTTCCACAGAAATCATTACTCTATGGTGTAATACCTAATGTATTGTTTTACTTCTTGATGAGCAGTATAACTTCATGCATATCTTTTGTGGAAAGAAAATTGTGTTTTAAAATAACAGGTGAACTGATTGTCTTTCTCTCTTATGTAAATGAAAATCTCTGAATATCCTTTTGAATTTTATTGTGTTATATACGTTCTCCCTCAGAATTTGCCAGTTCCCTAAGACTACATTCCAAATGTGATTTTTTTTTAAAGGACCTAGATTTTGATTTTTGGTGGCTTTTCTATGTTATATTTTTATAAATTGAAGCATAATTCTGATATTCTGTATATTTCTACATTGTGTTTTAAGTATGTAAGAGTGGTAAAAATGTTAAAATTCTTAGATATATTTTTATAATAAAAAAAACAATTTGGGGACACTCTGTATTAACATATATACACCATGGTAAGTTTCTTTGTTTTAATTTGAAAAAGCTGATGACTATTACTATTTTCTTTCTAGTTAGTAGGTGCTTTCTTTTGTTCTTGTGTATTAAAGTTGCAAAAATAAGATGCATTTGCGGGGGTTAAATAGGTAAAATAGATGATCATAAAATGTATTTGTGTTTAAACCATCTTTATGAGGTCTTGACTCAGTATTTTAATAGCAGACGTTTCAGTTACACAAATAATAGAATGTGGAAATAATAAAATGTTTAATGCTTGATTCATTATTTAGGAAGGATAATGCTGCATATTATATGTAGATTTTTTAATATAGATATTTTTTTTAGTTGTAGTTGGGCACAATACCCTTATTTTATTTATTTCTATGTAGTGCTGAGGATTGAACCCAATGCTAGCATGTGCTAGGTGAGCGCTGTACCTCTGAACCATAACCTAGCCCTGTGATTTTAATTCTAGAACTAGATGATGATGTTGTTCCCATTTTTGGCTTCATTTGTCTTTTCACTGGTATTTTAAAAACATAATATAATGGCTTATTTCTGATTTATACATCTGTTTGATAGGTGCTGAAAGGACATGATGATCATGTGATCACATGCTTACAGTTTTGCGGTAACCGAATAGTTAGTGGTTCTGATGACAACACTTTAAAAGTTTGGTCAGCAGTCACAGGCAAAGTAAGTTTACTTCTTTGTACACCTCATAAATTTGCCATTGTGTTTATATCACCACTAGGATCAACCGGTAAAGCAAGGATCCTGTTTTGATCCTAACTTAGCTCCCCCATAATAATGAAAGTCTCCCCAGCATGATGATAGTGATGTTTTCTTTGATAGGGATGTCATATTTTTCTTCATTTAAATAGTTTGTCTGTTTTTCTGACTGGTATTTTAAAATTTTTCAGATGTGTTTTCTTTTTCATAGCTCAGTTTTTCCCACCTTTCCCATCAAATTATACTTAATTTATTTTAAATATCTTTCAAGAACATGATTGAGTGATATTTATTTTTCCTTGTAACCTGTTTTGTTGATAAGTTGCCTATAATTTAGAACTTAAGTATATCTTGCTCATCTAGAGTTATCTCAAGCTCTCATGATATGGAAGTTAAGCAGAATGGATATTTAAATATGGGTTTGAAGAAAAAAGACCAAGCAATATCTTAACTTCATATAATATTATATCCTTAAGTATTTATTATCTAGTGAATATTTATTGTTATCATCTACAGGAGAATATTTTCATGAATTAAGTAACTGACCACCTAAAAAGTAACAGAAGAGTGTGAAAAAAAATCCATGTTTTACAAAATGTCTTTACCATATTGCTTCTTGGACAAGAATCTTATAAATATTACAAGTCAGATGTTAAAATTTTTTAAAGCAGCTTCATATTTCCATGGGGTAATATTAGTTTTGGATTTATTTCAAGGTTTTAATGTCTGTCTTTACTTGTCTTGAAGTAACTTGGCTAGCTCTTAACTACTGCTTGGGGCATATTCAGATAAACTGTGGTATGTAGCCACACCCAACTCTGTTGGCTTACTATCATTGAATCTATTCCCATGGAAGAAACCAAGTTGTAATTTTAGTAATATTTCATCAAGAAGGCCAGGCTGGAGCTATCATGCTTTGCTTTCATCTCATATGTTTGCTTTCTGTTGTATCACATGTTTTATATTGTATGATTCTTATCATATGTTTCATATCAATGGTTACTTTCTACATATTTGTTTCTCAGTTGTGTGTGCATATTTAAGTATGTTATTCTACTGAATAAACAAAGCAGTATAGACTAGTGAGGTCTTATTGTAGTCATGAGTAAATTTTTTTTTCTGATGCTTTATCAAATTGATAAATAACTTATTACAGATTTTAATGAGCTATTATAATAGCATTTAAATTACTTTCCTTTCCCCCACAAATTAACCACCCTAAGTGTTTTTCCAGTGTCTGAGAACGTTAGTGGGACATACAGGTGGAGTATGGTCATCACAGATGAGAGACAATATCATCATTAGTGGATCCACAGATCGAACTCTCAAAGTGTGGAATGCGGAGACGGGGGAATGCATACACACCCTGTATGGGCATACTTCCACTGTGCGCTGCATGCATCTCCATGAGAAAAGGTAAAGGGAAAATCCAACATGGTCGGGACTTTTTCCTCTGTCACTTGTGAATTTGGTTCCTTTCTGTGTGACGTTGTTGAGATTGTGATAATGAACTCCTAAATTAGACTTTGATTATTAGACTGTAGCTGTTTCTAAACTGAGAAAGCCATAACGTATTGGCTTAAAATTGGGGGTTCGTCTTTCAAATTCCTCCTTCATTTGATTCCTGGGCTTCCCTCAGAGACTCTACTCCCTAATCGTTTTCTTATTCTTTGATGATTCACCATCTTTAAACAAAAATTGTTTTCTCTCTGGATATTCATGTTTTTGCAGATGGAACAAATTCAGTCACTTAGGCTTCAGTTTAAAACTCTGCATCTTTTTAGTTATCCACTCACCTTCACCTCACTGTATCACATCCCCTAAATCAAGAAAAAATCTAAGACCTGTGGGTTATTTTCTCATTTCCTGTCCTCAGAACAGTAGCCATAGTTTTCAGACGTGGCCATCTCATCTTTTCTACAGCTGACAGGAAGCCTTTCTATAATTATGGTAGCATCACTGTGCTCTTCTTACATCTCTGGGAGGCTACAGTTGCTACTGTTAAAGGAAAAAATCCTCAGTGTAGTTTTCACAATGCTTTCAGCTAAACTGGACTGCTTGCCTTCTCCTTCTTGGTTCTTTTCTCCTCCTGGAACACATCCTGTTAAATCCGTGTTTTTGTTGATGTCTTCATTATTAAGTAAATGTATTTTTAAATTTATTTTTAATTGGTGCATTATAGTTATACATAAAACTGGAATTCATTGTGATATATTTATACACACACATAACATAGTTTAGTCAATTTCATTTCTCAGTTTCTCCTCTTTGCCATCTGCCCTCTATCCCTCTGTCCCCTTCCTCTACTATACCATTCTCTCTTCTATTTTCATGAGATCCCCTTTCTTTTCTTTTTGATTTCTTATTTCTCTCTAGCTTTAGTATGTGAGAGAGAACTTTTGACCCTTGACTTAACAATATCTTTTCCAGTTCCATCCACTTACCGGTAAATGACATAAATCCATTCTTTATGGCTGAGTAAATTCCTTTATGTATGTATACCAAATTTTCTTTGAGCAGTTATCTATTGAGGGACACTTAGGTTTATTCCATAACTTGGCTATTGTGAATTGCTCTGCTATAAATATTTATATGCACATATCATTATAACTTTAGTTCTTTTGGATAAATATCAAGAAGTGGTCTAGCTGGGTCATGTGGTAGGTCCATTCTTAGTCTTTTGAGGAATGTCAATAATGCTTTCACAGGGGAAATTGCAAGCAAATGTGTTTTCTATTTCATTTGTCAAAAAAAAAAAAAAAATCTCCTGAAGTGAATTCATTGCAGTCTTCACTAGCAATTCCCCCTCCCCCACCCAATGCTGGGATTGAACCCAGGGCCTTGCACATGCTAGGCAAGTACTAAATACCATTGAGCTACATCCCCAGGCCCTATCCACTGCAGTCTTCACCTTAAATTCTGTCCATAGCATCTTCTTTACTAAGTAGACTTGGCCCTAGTTTTGAATATATTCTGGGCTTTCCCACGTCCCATTCCAATCAGAATAACTCAATACCGTGTTTATGAATCAAGGTTTTGCATAGGATTTCTTGTGAAAACATGTGTTTCTGCTTAAGAAAAGAAAAAAGAGTTTAAAAAACATTAACTTCATCTGTCACGTTTTCTGATGTTATTAAAATTAAAAAAAAATTTTTTTTCTTTTTATCCCTTTACAGAGTCGTTAGCGGTTCTCGAGATGCCACCCTTAGGGTTTGGGATATTGAGACAGGCCAGTGTTTACATGTCTTGATGGGTCATGTAGCAGCAGTCCGCTGTGTTCAGTATGATGGCAGGAGGGTTGTTAGTGGAGCGTATGATTTTATGGTGAAGGTATGGGATCCAGAGACTGAGACCTGTCTACACACGTTGCAGGGGCATACCAACAGAGTCTATTCATTACAGGTAAGAGATCTTATCTCCCCATCCCTTAGATGCTCTGCTGATGAGTCATAAGATTATTTTCCTTGGATAATCACTGTCAAATTACTGATCCAATATTGTCCAAAAAAGGTGAATCCAATTAATCTGCCATTTACATGTACTTCAAAATTAGCATGAAGTACATTTCTGTGCTCCATTCTCCCTCTAAAATACACATGCTTATGTTGGAACTTGAGACTTTGCTGCCCTAAGTTTGCTGTATTAATTAATAAGTAGTCTCATAGGAGAGTAACCTGGATTTTAATAAACTCCTTAGCAGATGATTAATTTGGCCAAAAGCTGTCCCTTTGCCTTGATAGTTAAAAGTTGATGGACCATGTAATTGTGATTACATCCCCATTCAGAGTAGAAGTGGAGCCTTTCTGTATAAAGCTATTCCACTGTCCCAGGGCCACTGATTTGCAGTCATAAGAAGTAACTTTGACTCACCTGATTTTTTGTTTATTTAACATTTGAACCTGACATCCATGAATAGTTGTTAAATTTCAAGATAACTGACTAATAGTTTTAGTTCCTAAAAGGCAGTATTTTCAATTTAAAAGTAGCTTCTATTGCTTAAATAGTTTATTTACTAGTTACCACCCATTAATGGTCAGGAAATTAGTACATAATCCCAGTACTGACATTGCTGTTCTGTTCTTAAGGTATTTGTTTCTTAACTGATAGGATACTGTTCCTACCATGTAAAATTGATACACGGTAAATATGTTTGTCAAAATAGGAAAGGTGATGAATTTGAAGCAGAGGGAATTAGCTGCATTTTTTTGTTTTGTTTTGTGATATGCTCAGAACCTGGTATAGCTAGGAAGCTGGAGAAGAAATGCTGTATATCTTGCTTTTGTTATCAAAATGCCACCCCTTCTAATTCCAGATACAATTATATTTTGGCATATTTCCTATTTAGTTTTATGTTCTTGTAAATGAAACTTTTATTTTACATGCAGTTTTTAATAAAACTTTCTTGTGACCATCAAGCAAGTTACCTCTAGCCCTTTTCATGATTCAGGTACTAATCAGCACCCTCTTTATTGTAAGCCATGTCATTAGGTGCAACTTCCTGTGGGGAAGTAAAATGCAGAAGGAATCCTCATTGAATCATCCATGGTACAAAGCTACTAAGTAGGACTAGGTGATCCAAAAATAATGTTCATATTAGGCATTTTGTGTTCTTTGTAAGTTATTTTTGCATCTACTTTGAAGCTACTGGGCATAAAATGCAAGCGTTCTGATAGATGTGCCTGAGAACCTGCAGTGTATCCTTTCTTGATGACATTCATTTCACCATGGTTGCCCCTTAGTCCTAGTGCCCTGTTTTGTTCTTGACCTTGCATGTTGCCCACACTGTCCCCTCCTCCCCTATTAGAATTAAGGTCAATAATTGATAGGAAGCATATCCATACTGCTGCTGCTCTAATAAGCTGTGTCTGTTGTAGTTTGATGGCATCCATGTGGTGAGTGGATCTCTTGATACATCAATCCGAGTTTGGGATGTGGAGACAGGGAACTGCATTCACACATTAACAGGGCACCAGTCGTTAACAAGTGGAATGGAACTCAAAGACAATATTCTTGTCTCTGGGAATGCAGATTCTACAGTTAAAATCTGGGATATCAAAACAGGACAGTGTTTACAAACATTGCAAGGTAAGTGTTGGCTATCCACCTTCAATTGTGTTCATTAAAAAGGTGATTGCTGCTCAGGCAGAAATGCTTGCTCCAGATATGTTTATGATAATGTTCACTCTCACACCACTAGGCACACTTGAAAAAGTGTTTAAAGTTGTTTTAATATAAAATGGTTGAAGTACTTTGTACCTGTTTACTTGACTCAACCTAACCTTAAAGAACAGTGAGAAGAAAGAACGTTCTTGGCTGTCTCACAGAAGCAACATACTCATTTTAGTTGTGGAGTGATTATTTTATTTTGAATTTAAACATCTTTGATAGAAAATTGCTTTGACTTCCACTTAGCCACCTGCTAAACTGGAATGTAATAGAATAATAGTTCCCATTGAAATAGACAGGGTACATGTGAAAATTGTTAATAGCAGATGAGATATACCAACAGTAACTTCTTCATGATGATCTTTTTTCCCCCCCCTTTGGTGCTAACCCTTAGAGTCTTTTCATTGAGGCCATGTGGCAGGCAACTTTGCAGCTTGTTGTTGGTTGATTTTACCTCTTCCTCAGAGATTGATAATAGTATCCATTCAGCTTTCATCTTTGGTCAGTTCCAAGTGGTGATAAATCTGTTAGGCTCATTTGTCCCTCAGCAGAACATATGAAGCTGCAGTGCCTACATCGCTGCCAGCAAATGCTCTTATTCACACAGCCAGAAAATAAAATGTGTGCCTGGTAGCTCACCAGGCTTCCTGGAAGACAGAACTCTTGAAAGTTAATGTTATAGTTACAGATAGCTGCCAGATTTTCTTACATCCATGCTGATCCTAAAATACTCATAACAAAGTTTCTAAATATGTAACATTTTAAATGTTGCATTTATTGTATATTCTAATGTAGAAGTCTGCAAATTATAATGTAACTAACCCATAGCCTTGATTTCTAACTAGCAATCAAATTCCTTTGGTTTTGTCTAGGTCCCAACAAGCATCAGAGTGCTGTGACCTGTTTACAGTTCAACAAGAACTTTGTAATTACCAGCTCAGATGATGGAACTGTAAAACTATGGGACTTGAAAACGGGTGAATTTATTCGAAACCTAGTCACATTGGAGAGTGGGGGTAGTGGGGGAGTTGTGTGGCGGATCAGAGCCTCCAACACAAAGCTGGTGTGTGCAGTCGGGAGTCGGAATGGAACTGAAGAAACCAAGCTGCTGGTGCTGGACTTTGATGTGGACATGAAGTGAAGAGCAGAGAAGACAAATTTTGTGTAGACGATATACTCCCTTCCCTTCCCCTGCACAAAAAAATAAAAAATAAAAAAGAAATAAAAATAAAAAAGAAATAAAAATTTAAAAAAGAAAGAAAGAAAAAACAGAAAAAAAGAAAAAAGAAGAGAAAATGAAAAAAAAAATCCCTTGTACTCAGTGGTGCAGGATGTTGGCTTGGGGCAACATATTGAAAAGACCTACAGACTAGGATGGAAAAGAGGAAGAGAAGACAAACCGAAACTGACAAGAGAGGCGTCTGCTGTCTCATCACATAAAAGGCTTCACTTCTGATTGAGGGCAGCTTTGCAAAAGAGACTTTCTAAAAACCAGGTGCAATTATTTCTTTATTTTCTTCTCCAGTGGTTGTTGGGCAGTGTTATGCTGAAACATCGTTACCAATTCTGCTCGCCTGTTCTTTTGCCACTGTCACCTAGAAAGGAGCTGCAATAATATCAAAACAAGTACTGGTTGACTTTCTAATCAGAGAGCATCTACAACAACCACAACAAAAGATTCTCCAGTGGAAAAGCTAGGAAAAAAAAAATTACTGTGAATTGTTTTTGTACAGGTATCATGAAAAGTTTTTTTTTTTTAAATTTTATTTTTATTTTTTATTTTTTTGCCAACCATTGCCAATGTCAATCAATCACAGTATTAGCCTCTGTTAATCTATTTACTGTTGCTTCCATATTCACTCTTCAACGCATATTGTTGCTCAAAGGTGGCAAGTTGTCCTGGGTTCTGTGAGTCCTGAGATGGATTTAATTCTTGATGCTGGTGCTAGAAGTAGGTCTTCAAATATGGGATTGTTGTCCCACCCCTGTACTGTACTCCCAGTGGCCAAACTTATTTATGCTGCTAAATGAAAGAAAGAAAAAAAGCAAATTATTTTTTTTTATTTTTTTTCTGCTGTGACGTTTTAGTCCCAGACTGAATTCCAAATTTGCTCTAGTTTGGTTACAGAAAAAAGACTTTTTGCCACTGAAACTTGAACCATCTGTGCCTCTAAGAGGCTGAGAATGGGAGAGTTTCAGATAATAAAGAGTGAAGTTTGCCTGCAAGTAAAGAATTGAGAGTGTGTGCAAAGCTTATTTTCTTTTATCTGGGCAAAATTAAAACACATTCCTTGGAACAGAGCTGTTACCGCCTGTTCTGCGGAGAAACTTTTCTTTTTGAGGGCTGTGGTGAATGGATGAACGGACATGAGAAAACTGACAGAATATTTTAAAAATTGAAATAAAGTTGCTGGTCAGTCTTAGTGTTTTACAGTATTTGGGAAAACAACTGTTACAGTTTTATTGCTCTGAGTAACTGACAGAAAAGGAACGATTCAGTCTCTAGTGATGGCGTCACGCGCAAACCAGCGCGCCGAGTGACAAGTCCAATGGTTCGCCTCCTTCTCCAGGAGCCACGACTCAAGCTGAACTGTGAAAGTGGTTTAACACTGTATCCTAGGCGGTCTTTTTTCCTCCTCCTGTTTATTTTTTTTGTTGTTGTTGTTGTTTTATTTATAGTCTGATTTAAAACAATCAGATTCAAGTTGGTTAATTTTAGTTATGTAACAACCTGACATGATGGAGGAAAACAACCTTTAAAGGGATTGTGTCTTTGATTTGATTCACTTAGAAATTTTATTTTCTTATAACTTAAGTGCAATAAAATGTGTTTTTTCATGTTAGTATGCCTGTTTCTTCCACCAAGGTAATACTATTTCATAAATATTTGGGCTCTAATATTTAAAACAGCACAGTCTTGTTGGTTTCTTCACATTCCCTATACGGTGACACAGAGATGATTACTTCAAGCCTGTTTGAAGCAGCTAAAGTAAGGGTGAGATACTAAAATGAGGTTTGATATATCCCCCTACACTATAAAGGAGGACACTCCACTGTGCTTCTCTGTGATATAAGAATATGGTCCCCTCAAAGAGTCACAAAACTTTTCTGATAGTTACAACTGGACGTTGTATTAATAATAAGTACATTTGAAAATTATCCTCGCATTTGGTGCTTGCCAGGTACTTGCTATGTATTTTCTCTCAAGCTCCCAGCAGCCCTGAGAAGTAGGTACTAGGACCTGCATCTTAAAGAGGAGCTAAGAGCTGCAGCTTGGACTGGTCAGGTGATTTGTTAGTCATATACAACTAGCAGAACACTAGGAGTCACACTGTTGTAAGGACTAGATGTCTGATGTCCTGTAAGAAATTCTGGCAAACTAAAGTAAGGTTTGAGGAGTTTGTCATTTTTATGATACGTTCAGACTCTTCTGGTTGCCATTTTGTTCAATAAATCTAGTAAAGGTGGGGGGAGTTCAGTTATTGAAACTATGTAGCTCTAAATATATTCAGTATCTCAAATTACCTGGGGATGCTCAACACACTCGATAATCTCAACTATGCCTGCCATAGACTAAAATCTCAGCATTAATAAAAATGGATTCTCATTAGAATGAGTTTCTTACAGTCATAAAGCCTGTTTTCATTACTCTTTGGAGCCTTATTTCCCCAAGGCTACTGAGTAGCACATCTGGGTCTGTGATCTTGGAGTAGCCAACATCTCTGGTCCTCCGTCTTCAGCTTTCTCCTACACAAAAGCAGAGATGTAGTGGCCAGGGAGGCAACCATTACTGCTCACATCCTGAGCCCTAAAGAATCTACATTTGAACAAGCTCACCAGGAGAGTTATAGATGCTGTACTTGTAGAACCAGTGCCTTAGGTACCTGTGTTCTGGTATGTTTGGTTTATTTGGCCTCAGCAGATTGCAAACATAAGAACAGATGGGAAAAGTGGTGATAAGGGAGAAGAATGGAAAACATCATGATCAAAAAGCAAGGCAGAAGTCATGATGGTCAGGCCAGGTGAGCTGGGAGAGCAGCCTTGCCCCCCCTCCTGCCCCCAATGTAGGGAAAACCAGGCACAGCCCAGAGCCACAATTGCTGTTTCCCTTGATGACTCGAATTGGCAGAAGCTGTAATTCTATTTGATGGTCCTTGAAACTGCTTGATTTTTCATAATACCATACAAATGAGGCTTAACTATAATATAATTGAAAAAAAATCTATTTTTTGAACATCATAGAAAACAGAATGAGTTGACGGGCTTTATAGACAACCAGGACTAAGTTCAAGTAGGCCCAGTTCTAATACTGTTCTGTTACTGGGATCCTTATCAGGTTTCTTCACCTCATGTGTCCTCGTCTTGTAAGATGTAGAAGAGTCCCATCTCTTGAGGTTCATGTAAGGATTAAATGGGATGTTATAAAGCACAATAGCACTTAAAACTAATGGCACTTAAAACCCTGAAAATGATAGCAACTATTAAATAGTTCCAGATGGAGAACAGTGGAATGCTTGTAACTCATTCATGAATATAAAAAGATACATAGATACATATACACATATATAGGTATATATGTGGCATTTATATGTATTACGTATATAAAACTAACATACCATATATCTATAGCAGTTTGCATTCTTTTGAGTCACACAGTCTCATGGAGTCTTTTAGAAACTTTGTGAGAGAAACTGGTACTAAGCACCTAATAGTGACATTGTATATACCCTGGTATTCAATAATATTGTTTTAGGAATTCATGAATAATGTTTATTACAGTGAATTTGTTCCTAAACCTTATTCTAAGGTTCCTAAACCTTATTCTAAAAAAATTTATTATAATTTTAGTAAAATAACAAAAAATCATTAAGGCAACCTCATATTGTGGCTTCCATGAAGAAATTTACTTCCTTATATAGCTGTACAATTTTAAATCTTCATGATAGAATACACACAGTCCTCACACAGAGGTGTTAAAGTTTCTTAAAGACCAAGCATTGCCTGAAACTAAAGCTAAAATTGGGACACAAAAGTAACCCATGAGCATCCATAGCAAATGCTTAGTAAGTACTGTTGAATACAGTAAAGAGAGTGCACTATCTTATTTCTTACTGGAATTGTTCATAATTTTGACATTTGGAAACCCCCTTACTGAGATTCAGTTGCCACAGCTAGTGTCCTCCAACTTTCAACCTATTTAATTTCAAAAAAGTAATTGACTTTGTTTGTTTGTTTGTTTATAGAACTAGGGGTTGATCCCAGGAGTGCTGTACATCTGAGCTATATCTACAACCCCTTTTACATTTTATTTTGATACAAAGTCTTGCTAACTTGCTGAGGCTGGCCTCAAACTTGTGATCCTTCTGCCTCAGCCTCCCAAGTGGCCGGGATTACAAGCACACTCCACCTCGCCTGGCAGTAATTGACATTTATTTAATTACTCATATTTAATATTTTTAAGTCATTTTCTCTGTCCCTTTCAAGCTAGTCAGTTATAAAGTCTTGTATTTCTCTGAAGTGATTTGATGCTACAGTCAAACCACATAAAAGACCTGTATATTCTCTTCTCCCTGAAGTGAATGGGGTCACGAGTGGCTCCCCAGACCCAGCTTTCCTATTTCTCTAGACCCTTCCTGGAAGCAAATTATTAGACACATTATGTGACCCTGTCTCTGCTCCTGTAACTCCTGTGTGAAAACCAAAAGCACGCAGCCCTGCCCCTTCACAGAGGGGGAGTAGATGCACATGCCGTTAGTTTTTCCCCCTGATTGAGTCCCTCGGGATGGTGGAAACTTTTTGAAAACTTTCTTCTCCGTCAACAGCTTCCCCCAGACACAGATTTCTTCCTTTTCTTTCTCTTAGTCATCTCTTATCATCCCCAATAAAAATCAGGGATGTAACCCATACTCCCTTGGGTTCATCAGTCAATGAAGGATCCAACCCCGTCATCCTGCGCAGTCCTGTGCAGGAGAGTGTCCTGTGTTGAGCCCATTCCATGATCCTCCTAACAAGAGAGCTCTGTGCTGCTGACAGATGAGTGAAGTTAAATGAGTGTTTCTGACACAGTTATTTCAATGTTCCTGCCTGACTGTATTTTGAAGATTGTGTTGTGCATGTGTGTGTAGATATACTTCTGGATATAAGAATATATTGGAAACTAGGAATAAGTCTCTTGTTCTCAGTGAATCATAGTCACAACATCATCCCTTTATGCCTTTCTTTTCTTCACCCATCAAAAAAAAAAAAAAAAAAGAATGGGTTATATAAAGGGAGGGGCTGGCAGGAGGGGACCTCCCAATGCTTTTCCATGGTAGTCTAGCGGCCCCTGTGTCTGCAGAAGGCTTTGTGTGCATGTGTTCACACAATGTTCCTGGAATCCCATATGAAGCAACCTTATGGTGATTTGAAAAACTGGTATACAATTTTTGATTTTGGCATTTTCTTCTGCCCAGGAGACAAATACTAAGTTAGATCTTAGTGGCTGCAGCCAGTCCCTTTCTTGGGAGCGCCTAGTTGTTGCTTTGAATTGCAAACAAACAGCATGGTCTGGCACTGTAGCCTGGCCAACGTATCTCATTATCCATTCCATTAATACTGGTGATGCCCAAATGAGTGAGGCTCTTGCCAACCTGGTCCCTCTGCGACCTTCTCTCTTTAGGTGGATGAAGCAAAAAATATCAAGGTAATTTCAAAGGTTCTTCAAGGAAAGGAAAAGCACCAAGAGCTGAAAGAACTCACCATGTACCTTTCCCCAAAGTGTAAAGTATAAATAAATTCTAGATCTGGTTCCTAGGAAGACTCTTATTGCTGAGACGAAAGCTTGGCGACTTCCCAATTTGCAATTGAGTATAAAAATAGCAGAGTTTCTATTTCAGATGATCTGATTCTCCCCAGGATTCCTGAGGACAAGGAACCACTGAGTGGACATTTTGATGTTTCGATATCTGGTGGCAAAACCTTTGCAGGCTGCTTATCGTTGAGTTTGGTTTTGCTTCAGCGGTCATGCTCTGCAAAGAAAAGTTATTTTGAAATTGCTCTTGCAAATCAAAGGTTCAAATATAATAGACTGCAGAAAAAAATGTATTGCCAATTTCCCCTTTTTCCAAGATGTTCATAGATTATAAAAGAGACATCATTAAGCCACACCTCAAGATAAGAAGGTTATGCACCAGACTTTTAAATTTATATTGCTGCAGCCCATTAAGACATTCTCAAACCCCTTCCACTTCAGAAAAGCAGGGAGCCTTTCAACTTGGATGCTCTCCACTCCTGTAAAGGAAGTTTGAATAGCTTAAATACATCCAGCAAGGATACAATAAGATGTAAAGATGAAAAGTGAAACTGTATACGTCTCTGGTAAAGCTTGGGTCCAGTTTTGTGGGGACCTGAAGCTTACAAACTTAAAAACACATGCACACACAAAATTAGATCCAAAGTGAACACTTAAAATAACAAATCGCTAAAGCCTTGGAAATGCGATTCTTTTGAGATTTCATTAGGCAAAATTACCAGATTTGCTTACTAGAAATACTTCAGATTGTAGCCTGGCTTCTACCCACCCGAACACAACAGTTTCCAGCACTTCCCTGCTCTACAGGGATCTGTTAAATGAGGGATCCTAAAGCTTGGCTTCCTCAATTTCAAGGTGAATCACATCTGCCTCTCAGATATAAATGTAGTGGTGTGTTACAAGGACCACATGAGACAATGTATGGCAAGTTCTTGTCATAGCACCCAATACACACTACTCATTAAAGGATTGTAATTATTACCATGATCGCTGTAATTGTGCACTTAGTACTTGTTATTATTCTAAGTATTTTAAAATATTACTCATTTAATT